TATATATATATATATATATGATCTAATGACATTGAAGTTAATGAAGTACAATCATGTTATCCTTTCCTTGTTTTCCTATAAATTTTTTTTGTTTTAACACTTCCTAGAAAATAAAATTTCCATTACCGTCTTAATCTTAACTAAAAAATAAAAAATAACAACTTCACTAGACATAAATTTTGAGAAATTGGAAATGCATCACATATGGGGGCGAATGCTTGAACGTACCAAATTAAAAAAATAATAATTTGAGAAAAGAGTAATGATAGGAAGGATGAAAATTTAAAACTAATGACGTAATATAAATTATATCATTAAATTAGTTAATATATATAATATTATAATTTTTTTAAATAAAAAAGTAATTATTAAATAATATAAAATTTATTTTTTAATATTTTAAATAGTATATAATATATATCATTAATTTTATATTTTAATAATAAATTCTGATCATATTTACTATTATTGTTTTGCATTTAATGCAATTAAATATAAACTGAAACCTGAAACAAAAGTCAGGACAAGATAAGCTGACTGGCTGGTCATTGTTTGTCAAACAAAGTTATTAAATGCTACCAAACTCAACTAAATTACTTCATTACCTATTATCATTTGTACTCTTTTCATTTTTTTTTTTTAACATATTTTAAAAAGGACGGTTTCGAACTTTGCTTAAAGGAATGCAGCAATGACTAATGTGACTAAACCTCAAGCTCAAGGTCAGGTGCTAGTGATCTTTTCATTTTTTTATATATACTTCCCAAATTTTCATTGTCATTGCCAACACATAATTCAAATAGCACAACTCACTGTGGAAAGATGTAAACAAAAGTACAAAACCAATTAGCAGTCGTTCGTAAAAAATAAAAAAATAAAAAAATTAAAATGTAAAATATTAAAAAGTATTGTTGAATGAATAGGTAATGTTTAACTTCTTTTTTTTTTTTTAACGGGCTTACGATGAGAGGAGTAAGAAGACTCGAATTTTAACACTTAAATCGGGGGATATATTTTTACAAACAGTGTTATAATCGTTGGGTCCCAAGACCCAAATGTGAATATGTAATGTTATTTGAAATTATATAAGATATAAGTTGTATATTTACACTCCATTTAGTAAGGTTATAATTTTTATAAATTTTATAATTTTGAATACAAAAGTTAGTTTAGTTTTATATATTTTTGTAATATTTTATTATAATTATTAAAAAATAAGAATAATATATTAATATTACTATTCAACAAAATTATATTTTTAATTATCAGTTTTAAAACATGTCTTAGTAAAAGAGTGTTAATTTCTTTTTCTAAATTTTAATTTTCAATAGTTATCAAAATTTTAAAAAATAAAAAATAAAAAATAACAGCTACACTAAACATAAATTTTGAGAAATCGTAAATGCATCACATATGGAGGCGAATGCTTCTACGTACCAAAAAAGACATAATAATTT